AAAAAGAGTAGCTTGTGTGTTGTATGTTTATGCTGTGTGTTGTATCATGTGTGTACTGTCATTGTCAATAAGCATTTGTTTAACCCACTGTGCCTGAATTATTACTTTTTTTCACCAAAGCTCTGCCAATGACCAAAAAACCTATGTGCCTCTAATTATAGCAACCACTTGGGTATATTCTTGGCAACATCTTTATAAGTTGGGGGTTATTATTATTATCTAATTATTGACTTATCCACTTAGTCTATTTCTGACTTTCTGTTTTTGTAACAATATTACTACTAGTGTAATTAAAACCTTTCCATACACAGTATACATCCATGGCTTACTGTACTGTTATACTCTTTCTCTCTATATAACTCTGATATATTTCCTTTGACACCCTTAAGGATCTCTATTATTTTTGTTTGTTTAGAAAAAATAAACCATATTCAGTTAGTAATCAAAGATCCTAAAGAATACTTTTAAACATTGGCATTCAACGCTAATACATAGCATAATAATAGCCTGGACAGACACTTTGGTAGTATAACTCACCTATTACAATGTACTTTGAATTCTTACGAATTGTATTATACTTTTATGGAAGGCAGCAGTACAAAAAATGATTTTTTTAGACTGATGTTTCTAATTGAAGAAAAGGGTAGATTCCAATTCTGTCCCTGGAATTATCAACTAATAATTTGATCAATCTTGCCCTTCCTCTTGGGCCATTTACACTATTATAGATAAACAAAATTATCTTGTTTTCTTCTCAATGCTACATTATAGAAATTTCTACATTATATATTTCTTCATATGAAAATATGCACTTGGATATTTGAGCCAGGTGAGGGTCTGATAAGATATGAAGTTGTCAATGCCAATTCAGGGGTAGAGACTAAATTGGGGGGATGAACTAAACACAAAACATTTATGTAAACAACAATAAGACATAGCACATTGTTGGAACAAGTAATAGGTTTATTTCATGCTGAAAAGAGAAGAAAGAAAACACAATGTTTCAGCTGTGGAGCCTCCACAACCAAAGAAGGTCTTTCTTCTCTTTTCAGCATGGAATAAACCTATTACTGTACTTCTTTTGCAGCCTATGCATGCTGACACAGCTATCTATCTCAACAACTCATAGCACATTTTTTATTCTTTTCATATCTTTCTTTTGTTTTGTTTTCTGTTTCCAAAACAAGCAGTGTGATTAAAATACATACCACAGTATAGATCTGAGGTTTTCGCCTCTTGGCTAGGTCGATTATGTTCACTCCATTATAGTATAGGTTTTCGATACAACCATGGAAATTCTTCCTCAGGAAAGTCCCTGGTTTGCCAGGAAGTGGGATTCCTCCAAAACTGAGCTTTGTGGGAAAAAACAAACAAACAAACAAACAAATGAAACCTAATTAGAAGATGATGATATTACTTTTATATAAAATCCGTATGACTTTGATAACCTGTATTTTCTAACAAATTCTCTGAGAGGGATCAGCTGGCCTGAGATGCAAAAATTTAACATTATTTTGTATATTCCAAGGAAAAGCAAGGTAATGCTGTTTGAAAGTGTACTTTCGCTTAACATTACAGCAGTTAAAGACTGAAACATTTCTTCACAAACATATTCCTGAAATGGATGGAACAAGGTTTCAGATACTAGAATTAGGCAAAATATAATGCTTTTTTCCTGCATTTGACACCCACACTATTAGCCTTTTGTACCAAATTTAGATTAAAAATAAAAAAGTAACCTTTAAACTGTCAAATTGCTACCATTTTCAGTTTTGTAGCTGTAGCAGTTGCAGTAGAGAAATTTATGTTTTGTATTTGCTTTCACTTTGGTATTAAAGATTAAATTAAATCTCTACATCATAAGCTTTCAAATGTTAATATCAAAAAGACCACTTTGAAGACAAAAAGTAAATGAAAATAGTTAAAATTAAAACATAAAATGTCACTTTTCAGTTTTCAGTCACTTGAATCATTTTTGAGAAATATTTAATTCTATATGTGAACAGCTAAATGAGATTCGCCATTTTGAGATACCAGCTAATAATCAAACGTTTAATTACTTGCGTTTGTATACAGAGTGTGGTGAAAAAGTAAGTACACTCCCTTATGATTTTATGGTTTAACATATTTCTATATATTTGACCTTCACCTAGTCCTCCCTGAGCCTTAATAGTTGATATAATTAATCTTATTTTACAAATAACACAATAATTAGGCACTGTCAATATTTATTTAAAAATCAGCCAACATTCAATATATTTGTATAAAAAAGTAAGTACACTCTTATTTCTATGCAGAATCAGGTTTGTGGTTACACATTGTGCCTAGATCAAAATACATTTGTGCAAAATGTATGTATATATGATGCATTGCATTATTGTCTTAACTGATTCAAGGTACCAAATTTGTTTTATTCAGAATGTGCTCAGGATATTTATTAAAGGCATAAAATAAAATCCCTTTTGTTGCTCAAATTGCATATCCACACAAATCATGTAATTTAAAATGATGGTGCATCTATAATGCAGTAAAATACTCTATATAAATACCTGTAATTTAAATGGTGTTTTACAATGTAATATACAGTAGAGTCATTTTAAAATAAGTGTTTGCCACAAAGAGAGAATATAATCACAAGAATCATTGACCATAACTTCAAGGTTTTCTAAAAATCTTAGATGGTACCTCTACACCTTTTTAAGTTGCAACAAAACTGCAATGTGATGAGGGTTTTCATTACAGTACAGAGGTAATATTACTTGTGTAACACATATTCCATAGCAAATATATTGTCTTTAATAGATGTCCAGATCTGTTAACATTAACATATCACAAAGTGTTTGAGAATACCAATATTTTTCATATGTATATATTTTTTCAGAAATGTGTAGTTTCAAAGTAAAATAAAACTGATGTTTAATTGTGATTAAAACACTTGACAAAAAGTCCACGGAGGTCAAAAAGTTAGGAAAACAAGCAATACATAAATGTGCAAACCAGTGATTTACTCTGAGATGATGAAAACAGGATTAAAATCCGGAATGGGATCCAAAACAGGAACTAGAACTAAAAGACCAGGTGCTCTGAGCCCCGGACCCAGATGGTCAGGAATAAGGAAGGCCTGCCCTTGGGCTACCCGCGAGTCTGGGGAATAGGCAAGCCCTGTGGCGTCCATCTTCCAATATTGAGCCAGGAACTGCAGAGACGTTAGGCACCAGAAAATAATAAAAACTAATCATAACAGAAAGGAGTAGGAGTGCTCTCTAGAGAAGGGATGTGGAATGTAACAATAAAAATAATAATTCAAGTAGGTAGCTGCGTCAGCCTGCATAGGCTGCAAAGGAACAAGTAAAAGTTTATTCCATGCCGAAGAAGGCTCCATAACATTGTGTTTCTTTTCTTCTCTTTTCAGCATGGAATAAACCTTTACTTGTTCCTAAAAAATAATAGTGTATGTATATTATGTGGAGAAACTAAAGCATCAAATTGCATGTTCAATGAATTCATGAAACAAAGGCCAAATTCTAAGGCTTCTAAATATTGGAATCACATGTTGTGAAGAAAAAAAAAGAGACCAATCCAAGAGAGGTTTGGAACATGAGAAGAACAAGAACTATATGTTTCACTGTCTTTCTGCCAGGACAAGAAGACTATGCATCATGAGTCAAACTGAGCTTAAACACTGAAATACAATTTGCTTATATTATTTTTAATATTTGTTATATATGCATTAGAACAGCTGAAAGGGAAGGTCCAAGACCTGAAAGCGTGGTGAGAGATGGCCACGGATAACATCATCATCATATATGCATAGGGGAAAGAGGGAGGATGGGGGCCGGGAGGTAGGGACAGTGGGCTGTGGGATGAAAAAGACTGAGAAACAATGCAATTGTTACATTAATTCCTGTGCAATTAATGCCAATTTGAAACTCATAAATTCTATTCCAAAGTCCCCCTGATGGACAGGTAATCCTCCATTTAAATCAGAGGTGAGTCATGGGCTATAATCCAACATAATGTAGTGAAAGAGACAACAATCTGGTGAAGATGCAAAACAAATCCAAATAACCAATGCACAAATAAAAATGTTGATATTTAAAATAATGAGAGTGAATACATAGAATAAGCAAATTAAATTTACCTTCTTTTTCACATACTGGACTAAAGACAATGATGAAATAGGTAAGTGAAGAATGAATCTGAGGGATTATGAGAGACCTCATCTGAGAATCTGAGGTTATATTATCATATTGTAACGCTGCAGGGTTCACATGGGAGCCCCTGCCACGGCCGCCTCAGGTCGGCCCCCCACCATCAGGGACTCGAACCCAGGCC